AATGGAAATAAGGGCAGTATTAATAGCCATAAATGTGGGAGAGCGTTGATATTATGTGATTGTATTGTATTGCAATATGGAAAAATTAAATGTCGATGTTAAATCAAAAGTAATTCACAAATACTTAAAAATGAGATGATTTAATTGCAATAACTTGCTATGGTTACAACTGAATTAATAACAAAATAACTGTATAAAATGATAAAATATGAAATGATAAAACGTGATATAAACTGTACCCAGCTTAAATGTAAAATTAAAGTTACCAGAGGTAGAAGGAGAGACAAAGGTGGAGGGAGAGAGTGAAAGAGACAAAGAGAGCAGGCCCAGGAGTTAGCTTGATTGCAATAGAGCCAGAGAAGATAGACTCCAGAGGAGGAGAGGAGCAGAGCAGGAAAGCCCAGAAACAGAAAAGAGCCCCGGAAAAAAGACAGAGCAGAGTTTTACACCTATCTTTCTTGACAATGTGACCAAAGCCCAAATGCTGAGACATTCAAACTGACCAATCAGCATTTGACCACATTGTAAAATGCCCAAAGTCCACACACCAGGCTCTGATCTCATCAGTATCTGCCTTTGGAGTCAGTATGGACCGTCTTGAGTTAAAAAGACATGTTTTGTCATATAAACAAATGAATATGATAATGTAGCCTCTTACAATAACGTTACAAAGAAAGTATATTTGTTTAAATCAATAGTTTACCAAAAATCTGTCATTGTTTTCTCATTCTCCACTTGTTTGACTTTCTTTCTCCTGTTGAACACAAAGGAAGATATTCTGAAAAATGATGGCGAAAAATGAAGCCATTAACTATTACTTTATTATTATTTTACTATTAGTATTGACTATTAGTTTGACTGATTAATTTTTTCGTTCCTACTTTGAATGGCAATGGCCATTTTATTTACAGCATTGTTCAAAATATCTTCCTTTGTGTTCAACAGGAGAAAGCAATTCAAGTTTAGATCCACGTGATTGTATGTAAACGGTAAGGAAATTTAAATTTTTGGGTGAACACTAAACACACACCACACAGACTTTTCCATACCCCTCACTGCACACCATCAATATGTAGCATGCACAGCACTTTAACCAATCCATACTTAAAACAATACTGCCTACTAATAATACCTACATAATACCCTAATACCTACAACTATGTGTACACCTATTCATTGTACATATCGCTGTCAATTTTACATTGTCCTGTTTTTTTTTTTTTTTTAAGGAGTATGCTGTTGTATTTTGCACTGTCGTTGTATTTGCACTGTCTTTATTTTGCACTGTCTGTATTTTGCACTGTCATTGTATTTGCACTCTGTATTTTGTACAGTCTGGAGCCAGAACCTTGTGTTCTTGTGTTTTTTTCTTTTCTTTTTTTCTTTTCTTTACTTTTTTAACTGTATTTTTTATATTAAAGTGTATTTAATGTTTATGTTGTCCTTCTATTTTAGGTGTGAATTTTTAACATTCTGTAAGGGGTCTACGGATGAAAAATAGCCATTCTTGGCTAATTCTGGCACATTTTACAGTAATGTTTATTAATGTGCATTGACCCTGTCAACAAATAAACTAAACTAAACCTTTTTACTCATCATAGCACATGTGCTGCTGCTGATGTGACATTAAAAGTGATTTGATTTGATCTATCCCTTCAACATTGCTCAGCTATTACGCTGTAGAAAAATCTAAGTTGATAAATTGTTAACTTAGCTTAAAACTGTGAGTTACTGTAGGTGGACACATATTTGAGCTCAGTGTGAAGTTTACTTATAAAAACCACTTAACTGCATGTTTAGGACTGTTTGCTCAAGGAAAGTAAAGAATTCAGTTGAGCAGACTTTTTGATTTATTCATTAGAGGGTTTACTTCCTGAAAGCTTTTTTTCTACGTGTAAGAAAATCAAGGACAGATAACTAGACAGAAAAGGACATTTTGTGATATTTAAAAACACACTCACCCTGTAGATGTGAGAGTGGGACGCAGACATCACCTCAAAACAAATCTGGACGTTTAGTTTTCTCAGAATCTCCTGCTGACCTCTAGTGTTGAAAATGTGATGTGCTTTCTGCATCCGTCCTGTGATGGATATAATCAATTATCATTTTATTTAATATGTAATGATATAATATTAATTATTCGATTATTTGACAATTTCTGTAAATAAATAAATATTAATTTTAAATTTTAAAACCCATAGACTGCTCCAAGTCGTTATATGGCAGCGAGTGAAAAAACCTTTTGAAATAAATCTTAAAATAAAATCTTATTTAATCCTACAATTAAAATGACTCTCCCAAATGTGACCAATACCAATTTTAAGACTCCTAGTCTATGATGACTTATGTTTGACTTATATATTTGTTTGTATGTATGTAAAGTATACACTATACAAGTGTTTCTTAACATACTTAAAAATCATACACAGTATCTATCTATCTATCTATCTATCTATCTATCTATCTATCTATCTATCTATCTATCTATCTATCTATCTATCTATCTATCTATCTATCTATCTATCTATCCATCCATCCATCCATCCATCCATCCATCCATCCACCCACCCACCTACACACACACACACACACACACATATATATATATATATATATATATATATATATATATATATATATATATATATATATATATATATATACATATATACAGTTAAAGTCAGAAGAATAAGCCATTATTATAATTTTAGAATAAAGTGGCGCAGTAGGTATAGAATATAGTGTAGTATAGTATATAGTATAATAATATAGTAGTATAGAATATAGTGGCGCAGTAGGTAGTGCTGTCGCCTCACAGCAAGAAGGTCGCTGGTTCAAACCTCGGCTCAGTTGGCATTTCTGTGTGGAGTTTGCATGTTCTCCCTGCCTTCCGTGGGTTTCCTCCAGGTGCTCCGGTTTCCCCCGGTACAGGTGAATTGAGTAGGCTAAATTGTCCGTAGTGTATGAGTGTGTGTGTGAATGTGTGTGTGTATGTTTCCCAGAGATGGGTTGCGGCTGGAAGGGCATCCGCTGCGTAAAAACTTGCTGGATAAGTTGGCGGTTCATTCCGCTGTGGCGATCCCGGATTAATAAAGGGACTAAGCTGACAAGAAAATGAATGAATGAATGACTAGATATTTTTCAAAACACTTCTATACAGCTTAAAGTGACATTTAAAGGCTTAACTAGGTTTATTAGGTTAACTAGGCAGGTTAGGGTAATTAGGCAAGTTATTGTATAATGAGGGTTTGTTCTGTAGACTATCGAAGAAAAAAAAAGCTTAAAGGGGCTAATAATTCTGATCCTATTTTTTTTATTATAAACTTCTTTTATTCTTGCTGAAATAAAACAAATAAGACTTTCTCCAGAAGAAAAAAATATTATCAGACATACTGTGAAAATGTCATTGCTCTGTTAAACATCATTTGGGAAAATATTTACAAAAGAAAAAAAAAATTCAAAGAAGAGCTAATAATTCTGACTTCAACTGTATATATGTTTACACCACCACATCATTACACAACGAATGGATCCATTCATACTTTCATGTTGTTGACGCCAAATTCCGACCTTTACCATCTGAATGTGACAGCAGAAACCGAGACTCGTCAGACCAGGCAACGTTTTTTTCAATCTTCTATTGTCCGATTTTGGTGAGCCTGTGTGAATTGTAGCCTCAGTTTCCTGTTCTTAGCTGACAGGAGTGGCACCCGGTGTGGTCTTCTGCTGCTGTAGCCCATCCGCCTCAAGGTTAAATGTGTCATGTGTTCAGAGATGCTCTTCTGCAGGCCTGGGTTGTAACGAGTGGTTATTTGAGTTACTGTTGCCTTTCTATCAGCTGGAACCAGTCTGGCTATTCTTTTCTGACCTCTGACATTAACAAGGCATTTGCGCCCACAGAACTTTATTTTGAGCGTGAAAATTCCAGTAGATCAGCACTTTCTGAAATACTCAGGCCAGCTCATCTGGCACCAACAACCATGCCACGTTCAAAGTCACTTAAATCACCTTTCTTCCCCATTCCGATGCTCGGAATCTGCTCAGCTGCAGCAGATCGTCTTGACCATGTCTACATGCCTAAATGCATTGAGTTGCTGCCATGTGACTGGCTAGTTAGAAATTTGCGTTAACGAGTAGTTGGACAGGTGTACCTAATAAAGTGGCCGGTGAGTATGTATGTATGTTTGTGTGTGTGTGTGTGTGTGTGTGTATATATATATATAAATACTAGTATATAATATCAAATACTAGTGTTTTTGAACCATAGTAGTGTATTATACCGTATATACAACACAACCCTTTATTAATGAACTATAGTGAACAAAAAAAAATACTATGTTATACTTTAATTTTTACTACAGTAAACTGTGGTATATTGTAATGTGGTATGCCCTATATTTGTTTGAAACTACATTCAGAAAATAAGTTTATTTTACTATTGTTATCATTTTACCAAAGCAATATAATTACCACAAGAGATCAAATCAAGTATTTTACCATAGTATGGTTCAAAAACACAGTTGTACTTACAATAACAGATATACTATACTATACTATACTATAGTATTTCTTCATATACCACAGTGAATGAAGCTCTGCACAAGACTTTTGGCCAGCGGAGAAATTAAAATGGTCGTGCCCAACTGAGTCTGGTTCTCTCAAGGTTTTTTTTCTTCACTCCCATCAGGTGAAGTTTTTTTTCCCTCTCCGCTGTCGCCACTGGCTCGCATGGTTCAGGATTGGTAGAGCTACGCATCGATGAATGTGTTTGAACTCTCAGCAATGATTAAATCACACTGAACTGAGCTAAACTGAACTGAACTTAAACACTAAAACCTGAACCACACTGTTCCAGTTACTATGAGCATTTATGTGAAGCTGCTTTGACACAATCTACATTGTAAAAGCGCTATACAAATAAAGCTGAATTGAATTGAATTGAATATAGGTTCAAGGCTCTGTTAATTTACTTGTAATAAATGTCAAGATACGCTCTTGTAAAATTCAGTGTCTGACATTTGTTTTATTTCATGAATAAAATCAGTAAGTCACATTTTTGATGGCAAAATGATAGGCATTTTAAACATCATCAAGGCAGAAACATTAAGAGATGCTTTCCATTAACTTACACGAAAGAAAAAATAAATAAATAAATAAAGAGCTATAGTACTCAGCTATAAAAGTCTTTGGGATTCATAAAAGTTTGTAAAGCTAGAAGGAAAAGAGAGGCAGAGACGTTGAAAGTGAAACCTCTGATACAAAAGAAAAACCACATCACTTTGTCCTTTCAGCACAAGCAGCCCAAAACTCAACAGTGCAAAGATTACCTCAGAAAACAGAGACGTTTGCTATGCTATAACATACAGACAGCCTGACAGAAACATTTCTCAAAAGCTCTACTCATCATCTACAGTATGAATTCAACTGTCTATATACTGAATAAAAAATTAACGATATAAAAAATCAATAAACATAAATACAGTTCTCCCTGACCATTGCCCTTGAAGAGAAAAATGCAACAGCTGAACATCATTTGTAACTCATACTGTAAGTGCAGAGAGATGTAGACTTAAAAACAAACAGCAAGGATGATATGCAATAGATTAGATTATAAAACAAATCTTGCATAAGGAACAAATAACCTCTGAGCTCATCCCGTCTTAATCTGCAGGCTCGCTGATAAGAAATATGCCAACATTCACTGTGGCTTGGTTAAATTTCTAAACTTTTGGTTAATATTGCAGACGTACAATAGAAAATTTACAAGACAAGTGTTTAGTCACTGTAATCAGTACTATTGTGACATTTCTTTAAACTATTTTAAAAATATTTTCCAGTGCTGTTTAACAGTGAACTTCTTTTTAAACTTAACCCTTTTGATAACTAATTTCTTTTGTCTTTGTCATGATGACAGTACATACTATTTTACTAGGTATTTTGCAAAATACCAGCTTAAAGATCAATTTAATGGCTTGACTAAGTTAAACAGGTTAACAAGGTAAGTTAAGGTTTAAAGGCGAGCACCTGGTGGCCCGGTTTATCCCACGGAACCTGGCCGGACTCAACCTGAAAGAGCGACGTGAGACCATCCTCCTGCAGGCCCACCACCTGCAGGGGGAACCGTACGTGGCCAGTAAATTGTGAAATGTTTGGTGGTCAAAGGTTAGAACCACAAAAACCCAATCGTCGGGCACAAAAACTGGCTTTTGGGACATGGAATGCCGCGTCACTGGGCAGGAAAGAGTCTAAGCTTGTGCAGGAGGTGGAACAGTACTGAGTAGAGATAGTTAGGCTCACCTCCACGCATAGGTAGGCCTCTGGAACTTCTTCTACTCTGGAATTGCCCGTGGTCAGAGGCAGTGGGGTGGTGTGGGCTTGCTTTTAGCTCCCCAACTTAGCTGCCATGTTGGAGTTTTTCCCCGCTGAAAGAGAGTGTCACCTCTCTGCACCTTCAGGTCAGGGGAAGGTCTCTCACGGTGGTTTGTGCCGACGGACCGAACAAAGGCAAGTACCTGGCCTTCTTGGAGGCCTTGGGAGAGGTGCTTTAAGGTGCTCAGACTGAGTACTCCGTTGTTCTACTGGGGGTCTTCAACACCCACGTGGGTAATGACAGTGATAGCTGGAGAGGCGTGATTGGAAGGAACAGCCCCCCTGATCTGAATAAGAGTGGTGTTCGGTTATTGGACTTCTGTGCTAATCACAGTTTGTCCATAACAAACACGATGTTCGAGCATAAGGGTGTCCATCAGTGCACATGGCACCTGGACACCCTACGACGGAGGTCAATGATCGACTTTTAGGTTCTATCGTCTGATCTCTAATCATATGTCTTGGACACCTGGGTAAAGAGAGGGGTAGAAGCTGTCAACTGATCACCACCTGGTGGTGAGTTGGATCCATTGGCATGGGGGAAAACTGGACAGACCTGGCAGGCCAAAACGTATTGTGAGGGTCCACTAGGAATGTCTGGCTGAATCTCAAGTCAGACGGATTTTCAATCCTCACCTTCAGAAGAGTTTTTACCAGATCCCAAGGGAGGCTGGAGACATTGAGACTGAGTGGTCCATGTTCTCCGACTCTATTGCTGACGCGGCTGTGAGGTGCTGTAAGGTCTGTGGGGCCTGTCGAGGCGGCAATCCACTAACCAAGCTGTGGACACCAGAAGTAAGGGACAACATCAAGCTAAAGAAGGAGTTCTACAGGGCTTGAATGGCTTGTAGGACTCCCAAGGCAGCTGATGGGCACCGACAGGCCAAGCGTGCTGCAGCCCGGGTGGTTGTGGAAGCAAAAACTCTGGCCTGGAAAGAGTTCGGGGGGACCATGGGGGAAGATTACAGGTCAGCTCCAAAGAGATTCTGGTAAACCATCTGGCACCTCAGAAGGGAAAAGCACTTCCACTGACACTGTTACAGAGGAACTGGGGAGCTGTTGACCTCGATTTACAGATCAATCTACATTCCTACTCTCACTTCTGGACCTAAGTTTTGGGTCATGACCGCAAGGACAAGATCTCGGATACAAGTGGCGGAAAAAAGTTTTCTATGAAGGGTGGCAGGGCGTACCCTTATAGATAGGGTGATCAGCTCTTTCACCAGCTTAGAGTAGAGCCGCAGCCAAGGGGGCTCGGGCATTTGTTACAGATGTCTTCTTGATGAGTACCTAGGGAGGTGTTTCAGGCATGTCCCACCGGGAGAAGGCCTCGGGGTAGACCCAGGACACACTGCAGGGACTATGACTCTTGGCTGACCGAGGAATGCCTCGGAATCCCCCAGGAGGAGCTGGAGGAAGTGTCTGGGTAGAGGGAAGTCTGAGGTTCTGTCCTAAGACTGCTTCCTTGTGACCCGGCCCCGAATAAGCAAATAAAAATGAATGAAAGTTAAGTAATTAGGCAAGTCATTGAACAGTGGTGTGTTCTGTAGCAGAATATATATATATTTTTAATAATACTGATCTACAACAACTGTTAAACATTTCCTCCCTCAGTTAAACATCACTTTGAAAATATTTAAAAAATAATTTAAATTTCAGTAATAATTTTGTCTTTTGCTGTAGAATGCTTCCATATAAATGCTTATCATCAGACTCTGTTTAACATTTGGGTCTTTCATTATGTTATTGTTGAATTGATCATATATTCACTGATATAGCAGGTATTTATGTAGCTTCTTAGCTCAATATAATTTCAAAATATTTTTGAAGAGTACACATAAGTGTTTTGTTTTTGAGCTCTCAGGTGCAGGTGTAGATGTTGATGTTTTCAAGGTATACATTTGGTGCAGGTGTTGATTTTGGTGTTTTTGGTATTGGTGTTTTAGTGCAGGTGTTGTTGTTGTTGTTGGTGTTTTTAAGATGTTCAGCCGGTATTGGTGTTTTTGATGTGTTTAGTTGGTGCAGGTGTTGATGTTGAGATGTTCAGTTGGTGCAGGTGTTATAGTTGGTGTTTAAGATGTTCAGTTGGTGCAGGTGCAGATGTAAGTGCAGGTGTTATTGTTGATGTTAAGATGTTCAGTTGGTGCAGGTGCAGATGTAAGTGCAGGTGTTTTGTTGGTGTTTCCAGATGTTCAGTTGGTGCAGGTGTAAATGTAAGTGCAGGTGTTTTGTTGGTGTTTCCAGATGTTCAGTTGGTGCAAGTGTAGATGTAAATGCATGTGGTGTTGTTGGTGATTTGAGTAGTTTAGTTGGTGCAGGTGTAGATGTAAGTGCAGGTGATATTGTTGTTGATTTGACCTGTTCAGTTGGTGCAGGTGTAGATGTAAGTGCAGGTGTTGTTGTTGGTGTTTTAGTAAGTTTAGTGGGTGCAGCTGTAGATGTAAGTGCAGGTGTTATTGTTGGTGTTTTAAGATGGTCAGTTGGTGCAGGTGTTATTGTTGGTGTTTCCAGATGTTCAGTTGGTGCAGGTGTAGATGTAAGTGCAGGTGTTATTGTTGATGTTAAGATGTTCAGTTGGTGCAAGTGTAGATGTAAGTGCAGGTGTTGTTGTTGGTGTTTTAGGAAGTTCAGTGGGTGCAGGTGTAGATGTAAGTGCAGGTGTTGTTGTTGGTGTTTTAGGAAGTTCAGTGGGTGCAGGTGTAGATGTAAGTGCAGGTGTTGTTGTTGGTGTTTTAGGAAGTTCAGTGGGTGCAGGTGTAGATGTAAGTGCAGGTGTTGTTGTTGGTGTTTTAGGAAGTTCAGTGGGTGCAGGTGTAGATGTAAGTGCAGGTGTTATTGTTGGTGTTTTAAGATGGTCAGTTGGTGCAGGTGTAGATGTAAGTGCAGGTGTTATTGTTGGTGTTTCCAGATGTTCAGTTGGTGAAGGTGTAGATGTAAGTGCAGGTGTTGTTGTTGGTGTTTTAGGAAGTTCAGTGGGTGCAGGTGTAGATGTAAGTGCAGGTGTTATTGTTGGTGTTTTAAGATGGTCAGTGGGTGCAGGTGTAGATGTAGGTGCAGGTGTAGATGTAAGTGCAGGTGTTATTGTTGGTGTTTTAAGATGGTCAGTTGGTGCAGCTGTAGATGTAAGTGCAGGTGTTATTGTTGGTGTTAAGATGTTCAGTTGGTGCAGGTGTAGATGTAAGTGCAGGTGTTATTGTTGGTGTTTCCAGATGTTCAGTTGGTGCAGGTGTAGATGTAAGTGCAGGTGTTATTGTTGATGTTAAGATGTTCAGTTGGTGCAAGTGTAGATGTAATTGCAGGTGTTATTGTTGGTGTTTCCAGATGTTCAGTTTGTGCAGGTGTAGATGTAAATGCAGGTGATATTGTTGGTGTTTTCAGATGTTCAGTTGCTGCAGGTGTAGATGTAAGTGCAGGTGTTATTTTTTGGTGTTTTAAGGAGTTCAGTGGGTGCAGGTGTAGATGTAATTGCAGGTGTTCTTGTTGTAGATTTGAGCTGTTCAGTTGGTGCAGGTGTTGATGTTCTTGCCGTCGACTGCATCGTCCACTAGAGACAGGTGGTAGTCTGTGGCCAAAGTGAAATGAGAAATGCATCCCACCAAACCTCGCATGTACTGCCTGTTAGTGTGGAGCGCGATCTCCTTCATCCCACCTGAAGAAACAGAGTCAAGCTTTGCCATCTAAATTCAAAACCATAAGCAGATCTAAAAAAAAAAAAAAAAAAACTAAACATATAATACACTCCTAGAAGAAAACTGTACAATGTTGTACCAAAGAAGGTACAAACCCTTGTCACTGGGGCAGTACCTTTTTATAAAACAGAATTGTACGTTAAGAAACAAATCTGTACCATTGCAGTTTGTACCTTTAAGGACATGATTTGTACCACGGGAAACCAAAATGTACCCTTGGTTTTTAAAACCTTCAGATACAATATTGTACCTTCATCAAAGGTAGACGGTAGAGGTAGTTGTGCACGCGAAGAGAAGAGCGAGGGGAAGGTGCGCGCGAACTGAGGAGCGGGGAGAAGATGGTTGGGTGCCCTGGGGGAGGGCAGGGGCAGGTGGAATTTTGGGAGATTTCTGGGAGACTGAACTATAGGAGATGGGTGGGAGATGTGTCTGGAATACGGGACACTCCCAGGAAAAAATGGAGTGCTGGCAGGTATGTCCATGAAGGTACCACTACAGTGACAAAACACTTTGTACCTTAACAGTGTCAAATGTGTTCCTTCAAGAATTTATCAATTTAAAAAATATTTAAAGGCATTTTGCTATATTCAAAATGCGTCTATTTATTTTCAGTAAATATAACACATCAAATTCATTTTAAACAATTTTTTAAAAAAGTTTTTGTGTAAATGCAGCTTTTCCATTTACAATAAAGAATTAAAAACGCTTTAACATCAATCAAAAGATCTATTTTTTGCTGAACATTTCACAACACTTCACAAAAACACATTCTCCCATGTACAGTGTTAAACATTATTTTCTCCAATTTTCACACAATACCTTTTTAATCACTTAAAGTCAATTTAATTGATTAAAATAGAACTACAGTTATGCAAAAGTATTGTAATGAGATTTGTATAATGTTTGATTAGTTTAACAATAGTAAAAACGTCTGCATGAACACTTTGCATATGCAGGACTATTGCCAGCTCACATGTGTAGTGGAAAGCAAACGCCGAAAGGTGCAGATATCAATAATGAAACTGCATTTAACAGAAAAGGCTCACCAAATGTTTATTAAAAATGCCTTAAAAGTTTAGTAACAATACCTATAGATATGTTTTACTAATTTTTTTGTTTTTTAGAACTTAATTAATGTTTATGAGTTTTTTTAAACATATGCTTTTAAATGAGGATTAATGTTTTAATATGGAAATTATTAATAAAATCACTTTGCCTTTACAGTAATATTAATTATCATAGATATTGTAATAAAGAAGGAGTGGTCCAACACTTCTGCACCTTTTTTATGAGAACAATTGTGTACCTTCATTTCAGTTGTACCATAAAAGGTACAAAGATACAGTATCATAAGAGGTCTTTTCTGTACCATATAAGGTACAACTTTTACAACGGTACAAAACTGTTCCTTAAGGAACATTATTTGTACCACTGTTTTCCTTTTTTTCTGAAAGTGTACTGTGCAAAAGGTCTCTTATGGGTGACGGTCCATTACAGCCATAAAAGAAAACAACATGACAAAAGTCTAAATTATGACAAAAAGTCTAAATTAGTAAGTCATAACTATGAGAATAATAGTGCAAATTATGACTTTAAATAAAAAATATAAAGTTGAAATTCTGATTAAAAGTTGAAATGAAGACTTACGAAATCAAAATGATGATTTAAAAGTCAAAAAGATGAAGGTAAAATAAAAAAATAATAATTTTTGGTCCAGTAAGTTAAAAATGTTATAAGTTTTTTCTTATATGGTGAAAACAGGCTTTTTTATTTATGCCCAAGGCTGTATTGATCTAAACAAATATACAGTAAATAGAATATCACTGTGAAAAAGTAAAACAATATAATAAAACTGGTTTCTATTTGAATATAGTTTTAAATTAAATGTATTACTGTGATGCAAGGCTGACTATTTTTATTCCAGTCTTCAGTGTCAGACGAGCATTCAGAAATCAATCTAAAATGAATTAGAAAATGTAAAGCTAAAGGATCAGTTCTTATTATTAAATAAAAACAGTTAAGAAAAATATTTATAGAATTCTTTATAAGAAATTTTGAAAGAAAAGCAATTTATTTAAACCCTTTTTTTCCACATTACAGAAGTCTTTACTGTCATTGTTTAATTCAATGCATCTTTGCTGGATAATAATATATAGAAATAAAAGGAGTTTTAAATGGCATCTGCTCATTCCTAATTTGCTCATTGCAATTATTAACACCATAACTATGTTGATTCTTACCAATGTATAGGTCACCGTTGATGTTCAGCTGTCTCATTTTACCAGGAGAACGGCCGGTTTGAGCTCCATAGTCATCGACAGTGAGTTTACCAGACTGTCCATCCCTTAAAACAGAAGGCTTGGATTAATTCAGAAGTCTACAGTCTGTTTACATGCAGCAGATTTTATCAAATGCATCTACATGTCATGTGGAAGTCTATATGAAATGCTGAAAAACATGCTGAAAAAAAAATGAGTCTGACCTCACAGCCTTCACTCTGTGCCATTTGCCATCACTGAATGTACCATTGATGACCACAGTAGCAGCTCCACTACCCAGATTATAACTGCAGAGAGAACAGACACGTGCAGCATTTGCAAAAAATGCATAAAAGTATCCTGACTTTACCCTCAAGTTATATGTGTGTGCTTGAAACTTTTATACTATTTATACTATTTACTATTATAATATATACTATTTTTAAACTATTTATTTTTCCTCGATGTGTCAGGGTCAAGCTTGATTTTGGTTTGCCTGCAATAAGTCAGAAATCAACATTTTGAAAAAAGACAAGTTTGATGCTAAAAGTCTTCTCAATAATCAAGGATTGTTTCCTGAATCATCCAAGGAGAAACACAACCGTTCCAGTTTTTAGCTAAATAGTAGTGTTTAGTGTGTGCGCATGTTTTTTTGTGTGTAGACAAGAGCTGTTGTTTACCTGAAAATAAGCGATCCGTCTTGAAGACCCAAAGACAGGTAATCACTGTTGGCTCTCATCGGACTCTCTCCACGCCATAATAAAAGTCCATCTTTGGACGTGCTTTTAAAACGCATAAACAAGTTTGTTCTGGAACCCGAAATCCTGCAGAAACGTTCACCATTAGTATTTATAAATGTTCGTATGAAGTACTGACTACAAAAAAAAAAAGGTTATGGAACTAAAAACTGATGATTTTTAAAAACACCTACTGTGGCAAAGTTGTTAATCAATGTTTAGTGTTTATATACAGTTGAAGTTAGAATTAATAGCCCCCCTTTGATTTTTTTGATTTTTCTTTTTTTTAAATATTTCCCAAATGCTGTTTAACAGAGCAAGGAACTTTTCACAGTATGTCTGATAATATTTTTTTCTTCTGGAAAAAGTCTTACTTGTTTTATTTTTGGATAGAATAAAAGTTTAATTAAATATTATATAATAATATTATTAGCCCATTTAAGCAATTTATTTTTTCGATAGTCAACAGAACAAACCATCGTTATACAATAACTTTCCTAATTACCCTAACCTGCCTAGTTAACCTAATTAACCTGGTTAAGTCTTTAAATGTCCCTTTAAGCTGTACAGAAGTGTCTTGAAAAATATCTAGTCAAATAATATTTACTGTCATCATGGCAAAAACACTTAGGAATTAAGTATGATAAATAGTTGTATCCTCTAATAGGTCTGATCTTATTTATTGATCTTATTTTTAATTATAACAATATTGTGTAACAATAATTGTGATCAAGATGAAATTTCTCATAATGGTGCCCGGGATTATGCAGTAATTTGTAATAAAATAGTTAATAAATTATTAAATACAATAAAAACAATATATAAAGAGTTTTTGTTTTATTATTCACTTTTTTACTTTATTATTTTATTTATTTCATTTAATAATTTACAAATTTGTTTCTAAACTGAAAAAAGGTGTTCTAATGCTAAACTGGATTGAATTTAAAATCTTATAGTTATACAATTTAAAGTATTTTTAAACATTAAATAAAAATTCTTAATATAGGGTCTTTAACTATAAAGCATTGCAAATATATACAAACATGCATACATACATATATATGGATTGTCACCTATCCAAATTTTAGGAACAACAAATAATAACTTGACTTCTAGTTGATCATTTGGTATTAGAAGTGGTTTATATGAAAGTTAAAGGCCTCTAGATTACGCTCATTTTACCACAATAAAACATGATAATGCCTTGATTTTTTATGATTTCATTAGGACAGAAAGGTCTGACTTTGCTTAGACAAAAGTCTTGTCACTTAACAGAAATAATGTCCAGTATAGAATATAAAGTCCTGCTGCAGAGGAGACAGAATGAATATTGTGTCTGACTCCATCATGAGCTTGGAGGACTGCATCCATCTCTGCAATGACTCAAATCACTGATTAATAAAGTCATCTGGAATGCCAAGGAAAGCGTTCATGCAGGACTCCAAGAGTTCATCAAGAGTCTTTGGATTCATCTTCAATGCCTCCTCCTCTCCCTACCCCAGACAAGCTCAATAATGTTCGTTTCTGGTGACTAGGCTGGCCAATCCTGGAGCACCTTGACCTTCTTTGCTTTCAGGAACCTTGATGTGAGGGTGAAGTATGAGAAGGAGCGCTATCCTGCTGAAGAATTTGCCCTCTCCTGTGGTTTGTAATGTAATGGGCAGCACAAATGTCTTGAAAACCTCAGGCTGTTGATGTTGCCATCCAGTCTGCAGATCTCTCACACACCCCCATACTGAATGTAACCCCAAACCATGATTTTTCCTTTACCAAACTTGACTAATTTCTTTCAGAATCTTGAGTCCAGGCAGGTTCCAGTAAGTCTTCTGCAGTATTTATGATGATTGGGATGCAGCTCAACAGATGATTCAGCAGAACAGTCTACCTTCTGCTATTTCTACCAATGATCAACTAGAAAAATCAGGTTTGTTTCTCTTACAGACATATATATACATATATAAAGTCCATATATATATATATATATATATATATATAAATTGTAAAGCATATCCTAGTGAAAAATGTAAAATTAGTACAGTATTTTTGACTTTATATATTATAGTCTTTACAACAGTTTGTTAATGAATGCTGCAGCATACTGTAGTATTATCTATAGAGAATTAATAAACTAAAGTTTTTGTAGCATACTTCAATTTTTACTATAGTAAACTGTATTGTTGTATAACTTATACAGTTGTAGTAAACATATTACAGTTTTGGGTTATTTGTTTATATTAATAGAGCTGTAATTCATGTACTTCACTATAGTGTTCAAAAACACAACAGTAATAGTCCCTTTTGACATTTCCGGGTTTCTCTGTAGTGGAAGTCGTCATAGCTGGGTAAACTTGTGTAATGGGGCAGTGAATGGAAGAGTACAACAAATCATTTTTTTACAATCCCCTATGCTAAATAATAAAAGAAAAACTCCAAGATGGTGTTATCTAGACTTTCAGAAAAAGGACAAAAATAGTGTGAGACGGATAACGGCAGACAGAAGAGAGAATAATGTCAAATTTACTCTAAGCCCCATAGACGCGGCATTGGAAACACCTCGCATAAGCTGTAATTTGTTTTTTGTAATTTGATGCAAAGATGATTGAATACATTCATATGTGCATTATAATGTTCATGCATGATTTTTTAATCTAAATATTAAAAACTTAAGGATTTATGATGACTGTTAAACACGTCATAACAGGTTTGTGAAAAGGGCCCATTAGTATAAATTACTACAGTATTTTTTCGTGTGAGTAAAAGCAAAAGTCCAGTACCTCTTGAGGATATCTCTGTTGTCATATGTCAGATAGCTGCGTCCGGTGAACTGAGGGATCTCAATGGATTCAGTTACCGCTAATATGGCAGAAGGTAAACAGTGCTTTAACCTCCACTAGATGGCAGCACACATCATCATAAACATAATATATACTGTATATATAAAAAAGTTGCTCTAAAAAAACAAACAAACAAAAAAAAAACATTCAGCCTCCAGCACTTACTGTTTAAGCAATAATTCCCACATTCTGCACAGCGAGAGCACAAAACAAAATAAAATAAGCTTAGGAAAGGTTTGGTAGTGTTATGGAATAAGTCTGCAAAGAATATCAGAGCAACATCTCAGACTAAAAGCACTTACAAAATACTGTTTGCTTACTACTGAGGGAGCGTGTCTTACTTCTGGAGATCTGCAGAGTTCAGTATCAAACGCACATAGGCTACTAAAGACATGCAAAACAGTATACAATGACAGAGCTAACAAGTGTGTATGAATTATGGGAATTCGAGATTAGCATTGCTTTATTAAGTTTGTGTACACAGTAATGAAATAATACAAATAGTTTGCAGACCAGGCTTTATTTAACTGCTTAAATTTGTTGCTATTTTATTTAGTTCTTTTTTTTTTTTTTCTTTTTGCCAGTGTTCATAATTAAATATTTTAATTTTTGATTAAACTCTTATGTAAAAAAACAAAAACAAAAAAAACAACACAAAACAGACTACTTTTGCAGTGGAATACTAGAAGTGCTGAACAGTAACTACTTTATTTTGTAAATGAATAATTGAAGAGTTTAGATGCAAAAACCTTTAAATCTTTTCTTGTAAATGAGCAATTTCTATCAGGCTCCTCGGATTAGGTTGAGAAGTTTCATTTTATATGTAATGATAAGGTTATTAGCAGGTAAATAAAATAATTTAAAAAAAAAAAACGTCACTTTAGACTATTGTTTGGTTTTTAACAAGGTAAATTTTCTTTTGCATCCAAACCAGCTAAATCCACTTGTGCTGTTTTTGAAAAACAAAAACAAAATCTAAATCCACCTATTGAGACAAGATAGTGTAATTAGTTGAAAATGGAATTAGAAATTATTTTACCAAACATAAAACACCTAAAATTAAAAATATATATAAATCTGTCAAGTAAATGGCGGTTCATTCTGCTGTGGTAACCCCTGATAAATCAGGGACAAAGCAGAAGGAAAATGAAAGAATGGAATCTATAAAATAAGTTCATTAATCAATAACATTAAAGCTGACAATAATTAAATCTTAACAATCTGTTGTCATTTCTGATGTTTGAGATTTAGATTTAAAGTAGAAGTATGTAAACATTGTATCGTGTCACTTTTAAAATTCTTCTCCTGGTTTTTAAATCATTAAATGGCCTGGCTCCTTCCTACCTGTCAGACCTGTTGACTGAACATCAGCCTGGTCGGTCTCTTTGGTCATTTAACCAGAGACTAATATACATCCCAAAGTCGAGGCTGAAATGCAGGGGTGACTGGGCTTTCGCAGTAGCTGGCCCTACCTTGTGGAATGCTCTGCCCCTCTGTATTAGGTCTATATCATCTCTGTCTGTTTTTAAATCTAGGCTGAAAACTTACCTTTTTGATTTGGCATTTTATCAGTGAGAATTCTTTGTTTTAGCTATAATGTTATACTTGTTCTTTGTGATTTGTATTGTTCAGCACATTGGTCAACCTTTGGTTGTGTATAATAGTGCTATATAAATAAAATTGACATTGACATTGACATTGTAAACTAAGCTTGCTAGATTTAAATAACGTAGTGTAAAACATTGTGAAACATTAATATCTGCATTGTCCATTTACATAAAAAGTTTATCAGGCATATAGGTATTATGAAGAACTGTAAATGATGTATAGTTTTATACATTATATTTATCTTTTAAAAAATAGCTTAAATTAGCAAATAAGGTAGGTCTACTGTGCAAAACAGTGATATCTCTCAGACAATTTTAGAAGTTGTCATTCATTCATTTTCACCATACTCAAGGTCTTCATGCTATCCTCATAGCATCCATGTGGGATAAAAGAACGGCATCTTAACTTCACCTTTCGTGAAGCGCAGTTGTCGTTTATTGTATAGTAAATCAGACTCCTTCAAGGTAGCGCCGCTGCACAAAAAACGTTATGAATGCAACTTACACTTATATAGTGTGTTTTCTTTTTCTTATAATTTGAATGAGTTCTGAGCTAAGTGAGGTTTTCATTTGCCGTTCACTAACAGTCATACAGTCTGTTCTAATTCCTCAAACTCCATCTTTTAAAATTGAAATCGAAGTCTCCTACATTGCTACTACATTAAAAACATATGATGAAATTCCTGTCTTCTGATTGGTTCTCGGGATATAGTGGCTTTTGCTGTCAAGGGCAGGATGCGTTTAGAGGATATTGCAAGCAAACTGTTTGTTCTGAATGTGCAGACGCTGCAATTTAGATGATTTGAAGCAAAACTATTTGTTGAACGTACCTAAAGCATTCACTTAATGTCATTATCTCATTTTTGGTGGAAGTGGCGTTTGGCGCTTTTGCATCTGAACTCTTCAAAGATAAATATTGTAAATGTGATCAGGATTAGAGTTAAACTGCAGTATGCACAGCAGATCTCCAGTGCCTATTGTTTATGGGTGTATATGTGCGCATGTAATGTGCATATGCTTGGTTTTATATCTCAGTGGGGACTTAAACTTGACTACAAACAGACTAATGGAGACTTGTGTCAATGCAGGGATCTAAATTAAGGCCACAACATGTAAACATGCTTATAAATCACACAGAATGATGCATTTTGAAAATGTCAACGTTTCCTGTGAGGGTTGGGTTTTGGGGCAGGGTTGGGGTGGGGTACAAAACATACAGTCTGTACAGCAGGTGTGACCAACCCTGTTCCTGGAGATAGACCTCCCTGCAGGTTTCAGTTGCAACCCATATCAAATACACCTGCCTGTTATTATCAAGTGCTGTTCAGGTCCTAATTAATTGGTTCAGGTGTGTTTGATCAGGGCTGGAGCTGAACTTTGCATAAAGGTCGATCTCCAGGAACAGGGTTGAGCACCACTTCTGTACAGTACAAACATCATTACATCTATGAGAGTCCCCACCAGGATATAAGAACACATGTGTTTGTGTGTGTGTGTGTGTGTGTGTATTTTCTCACCCTTCTGACAGTGTTTTCCATCATACCCAAGAGCACAGTCGCAGTCGTATTCGTCCCACTTGGCCCTGCATGTTCCTCCATTCGCACACGGGTTGTCCACACACGGATGAGCCGCGTTCAGCACGTTCACACCAAACGCCTGGCCTGGATTCAGCTCTATACCGCGATCATTTAGAGTGATCTGAGCCAGGAGGAAACATTTGAGATTGAGCAAGATTAAAAATGTCATATAATGTTTTTGTTAGTTTTTTAAGAGATATGGAGAGATAGTAAGAAAGTGTCAGAGAGATGAAAAAGTGTGTTTTCTAATGTGGTTTGTCAAGCCCACTCACCTGGTGAGGCACACTCAGAATTGATAAAGTTTTTAAAATTGATTGATGAAGTCATATTAGTGTCAAAAATAATATACAGTTGAAGTCAGAATCATTATCCCCCCTGAATTATTAGCCCTGTTTATTTTTCCCCAATTTCTGTTTAACAGAGAGAAGATTTTTTCCACACATTTCTTAACAAAATAGTTTTAATAACTCATTTTTAATAACTGATTGATTTTATCTTTGCCATGATGACAGTACATAATATTTGACTGGATATTTTTCAAGACACTTCTATACAGCCTAAAGTGACATTTAAAGGCTTAACTAGGTTATTAGGTTAACTAGGCAGGTTAGGGTAATTAGGTAAGTTATTGTATATGGATGGTTTGTTCTGTTGACCATTGAAAAATGTATAGCATAAAGGGGCTAATAATATTGACCTTAAAATGGTGTTTAAAAAATTGAAAACTGCTTTTATTCTAGCCTAAATAAAACAAATAAGACTTTCACCAGAAGAAAAAATATTATCAGACATACTGTGAAAATTTCCTTGCTCTGTTAAACACCATTTGGAAAATATAAAAAAAAAAAAGAAAAAAAATTTAAAAAGGGGCGAATAATTCTGACTTCAACTGTATATGCACAAATAATATTTAGACTCTTCCCCATATCTAATCACTTCAGGAACTGAACTTTGTTGATATACAATGTGATTTATGTCTAATAATGAACCACTTTAATTCGAAAAATGTATCTTTATGCATCTGAATGTGAATGTTTATGCAAGTAAAATGAAATTATTTTGTTCAAAATCCTATAATTAGATTTAATTAGCCTATGCAAAACCCCTCATTACAGCGTTTTTAAGCTGTAGTTGTTATCTGATTTTAGACTGTTTGTGTTTTTAGAGCATCTATTCAATTCAATTCACCTTTATTTGTATAGTGCTTTTACAATGTAGATTGTGTCAAAGCAGCTTCACATAATATATGTCATAGTGAATTGAAACAGTGTAGTTTTAGTTTTCAGAGTTTAAGTTCAGTTCAGTTTAGCTCAGTTCAGTGCGGTTTAAGAATCACTACTGAAAGTCCAAGTGTGTGAACTGGGCTCAGTGGGTAGCACGTTCGCCTCACAGCAAGAAGGTCACTGGTTCGAGTCCCTGCTGGGCCAGTTGGCATTTCTGTGTGGAGTCTGCATGTTCTGCCCGTGTTGGCGTGGGTTTCCTCTGGGTGCTTTGGTTTCCCACACAGTCCAAACACATGCACTGTAGGTGAACTGAATAAATTGAATTGGCTGTAGTGTATGTGTGTGTGTGTGTGTTAATGAGTGTGTATGTTTTTTTTTTCCAGTACTTGGTTACACCACTATGTAATACATATGCTAGATAAGTCAGCGGTTCATTCCGCTATGGCAACCCCTGCTGAATAAAGGAACTAGGCCAAAGGAAAATGAATGAATAAATAGTGTGTGAACTGTATTACCTTCTGAACAGATCCACTGTAGGGTCTCAGGATGCCAGCGCTGGGCTTAGTAATGTCATAATTAGGAACTCCTCCGATATAAAGAGGAGAACTACACTTTATCTGTGTAAATGCACCCTGAGAAGAGAAAGAGAGGATAGTTGTGATGCTTTGTGGCTTTAGATAATATTGCATGCAATACAAAATATCCAAAAATAGGCTCGCTTGTATTATACTTTTTTGTGTAACCAAAACAAATAATGTACACTGAATAAAAAGAAAAAAGCATTTAATATTGATTTCTGAAAGATCGTGTGATTCTAAAGACTGGAGTTAATTACTTTAAGCCATATTTAAAGGGACAGTTCACCAAAAAATGGGTTTCAGAAATGTGTTCCTAAACTGCAATGAATTTCTTTCAGCAACACCTTATAACTACACAACCGTCATTTATAAGGGATTTACAAAGCATAAATAGTGCTCACTTTAGGCCACAAAACTGAACGAAGTTGAGTTAATAAAGCATTTAATAACATACAAAATAACTATTACTATTGACCTTATTCTAAAATGCGGAAGTGCGCCTGTTTTCGCGATTGTCTTAGAACTTCCGTTTCAGTCGCCTATGGGAGAAATTACTAGGAATAATAAACGGCAGAAAACGGTCAAACTACTTGCTCTACAAACAAATGTTTGCATGACTATACAGACCAAGTAGAATAATATAACAAGAAAATATCAAATTGCAACATCAAGCAGCGTAATGAGCAGTTTTTGATGTCTAAAAATGAATGGAAGTGAAAGAGACCGAGAGTCTCGAGCCAAAAAGATTCAAATGGCATCGCCCACTCGTCGGCGGTGAATACGGTCAATATGCCTGAAACACATGATATATAAAAGTTCATTTCAATAGTTTAGTAATTATTTACTAACTCATTATAAATGATTTTTAATAAACACCAACTATTATTAAATAACTGGTTTGTAAATAATGCAATATTTATTTTAGCATTAAAAAATTAATCATTAACAAAGTATGAAAATAAAATCATTAAGCGCATTATACAACATTATACAGCATTTATAGATGTAGTTATAAACTGCTTACTGACGTCTATTAATGTAGAGTTAATGCTAAACAGATAATGAATTAATTATTTGCTAATGTTTTATTAAATGATTCATAGTGTGTAGTTATTATAAAGTGTTAACTTTCATTTTTCTGTTAAACACAAAATGAGATATTCTGAAGAATGCTGGAGAAAAGCAGCCATTGACATCCAAAATACTATGGAAGTCAATAGCTATGTTTCCATCTAAAAATGTGATTGAACTTTATGCGTAAAACTAGATTATCGCATAAAAGACATGCGAATAAAGCAGCGTTTCCATCCAAAGAGTCAAAGCCAACAAAATCGTCACTTCCTGATTAACTGGCGCCAAAAATCAACAGTAAAAATGGAATTTGCAGCAGCAGGAGAAGCTTTGTCAATCTTTTCTTCATCTAATAAATGACTTGCACCTCAGAAGGTAATCCTGACATGCAGTGAACGCACAGTGACGTTTGAAGGTGTCAGTCGCAGAGCACAGACGCTCTTGATTCTGGAGGTCATTAATAATATAATAACACTAATACTGAAACGGTTCTGGCATTTTACAATGACCAAAACAACATTTCAGATGGTTTACAGTGTGCTCAGCCTGATGGTTCGTCCATTTACACACATTTTCATCATCACATGATCTCTTATCACAAAATCACATGACCTTTTTTAATGCGCATGCTGGAATTTGTGCGGTAAAAGTGTTTCCATCGTAGCTTTTGTGCATCTTTTCTTATCGAATAAAAAGTTTATCCTACTCCAGACATCCCAAGTTGGGAAAAGGGGGATACAGAGTTGATTTGCGGGAGGTAACGTTGGTGGGATAGTGGGTTTTGAAGAGCGGGGGGGTTTGCGTTGAGTGAGCGACGTATCTGGGTAGGGGTGCGTGTGCGCGCGTGACGTACCCGAAAAGAGGTATGAGCTGCCGCGACATAGCGTTACCTGAAGAGCGGTGGGGGTGAGTTGTGCGCGACGTACCTCAAGAGATACGAGGGATGCGGTGGAGAGAGGGCTGTGCAACGTATTTAAGGACCAGATTTCCGGGAGATTATCATTCATTTGCGGGCATCCGGGAGTGTCTATGCATTTGAGGGATACTCCCGCAACTTCCGGGACACTTGGGATGTCTGCTACTCAGTTATGCGCATTTGTTTTTTAAGCACATTTTCAAAATGTATGCGCATCATGGCATTTCCATCAACCATTTTTTTATGCACATATTTATGCTTCAGAGCATCTTCCTTTGTGTTCAATGAGTAAAGAATGAGTAAATGATGATTTTTGTGTGAACTGTCCCTTTAAAAAGAAACTTTTTTTAAATGCAAGATGATTTCACAAAACTGGGTGATCAGACAAATGTAGCCACAAATCTAATAGCAAAACATGTATAATCTCCTCACTTCTGCCATGCCCTCCACTGGCCTCTGGTTGTCTACTTGCAGGATGCCGTTTTTTGCGGTGCGAGACACACGTAACTCATGCCACACATTCATAGCAATGGCTTCTTCACTCCTGTCAAGCAGAAGACAACAGTGTTCAGTCCATCTCAACATTTTTGCATTTTATACTCTGAGCTTCCTTTAGTGCATGATGATGTTGTTTGAGCATGAAAAAGCTATAACATGATCTGAATCATTAAGCAGTGCGTCTGAACACAAACATGTTAGAATATGTGAAGCAACTGCACTTTCCTAAAACAAAAAATGCACATCCTTTATAAAAATCCAAGGATTAATAAGGTGACTTACAGATTTAACTAAATATATTATGTGAGAGATAATGTCCAGTACATCTAGGCAGTCGATCAGTACTATACCAATGTTTTGTACTAGAGCAGGGGTGTCCAAACTCAGTCCTGGAGGGCCAGTGTCCTGCATAATTTAGCTCTAACTTGCTTCAACACACTAATCAGACACACTAATCAAGCACTTATTAGGCTTCCTACAAACATCCATGCAAGTGTGTTGAGGTAAGTTGGAGCTAAAATTTGCAGGACACTGGCTCTCCAGGACTGAGTTTGAACACCCTTGTTCTAATATATATAGTAAGAGCTTGATTAGGTTATTCAGGAGTGTTTGATTAGGGTTGGAGCTAAACTCTCCAGGACACTGACCCTCCAGGACCAAGTTTGGACACCCCTGTACTATAGTGTTTACTCCACCTGATGACTGTTGCACCGGAGCCACAGTCGAAGCGAAACTCCACATATCCGGCCACTAGGCTGATGGACAGAAAGTCCCGACTGGTGGCATCATCAGTGTAGAGCAGCGTGCCGTCAGGACTGGTTGGCTGGAAGGTCACCTCAAATTCCATGAAGGAAAGGTAGTTGTGGGACGATTGAGGCCAGGGGGCGCTGGCGTACGAGAACATGCTCTGGTTAAACTGGGGCAGAGACAAGAGGAAACCTGCAACGAGAGGATCACTTTGTTTCAAAAACGTTTACTTACACCATGTTCAAACTACACTCAATGTGACATCGCAACACGAAACAAAAAGTATCTATTCAATGTTAAAAGTAGTTTTTGCAACCCAAGCTCATTCTGAAAACGTAGTTTGGGGACCGCGAAATAAGTCCCGGGAGGTTCGTATGGCTGCATTTCATTTTTTTAAGCGAACGCTACGGGGTGGTGTGACGCCGTTCCCTTTCGCGCTTGCAGGCTGACCGCTTAAGTTACCTCCGTGTGGAGGGCTTTCCCGCTGCAATCAGTTTGTCTGGTCAGCTCATCGTGTGCATCGTGTGTGAAATTAGTTTCTGTTGTTTTAGTGAGGATGACTAGCTTTTGGGAAATAAATAATAATGATAGTGTGGATGCAAAGTGTATTTAGATGAAAATGCTCTATTATATTGTAAATATTAGTGTAGATGTTGGCAACGTTTATCCACATTTTTTAGGCCCGTTGCCGGGGGGGGGGGGGTTCAGGTGGTTAGGGAGGTCCAGAATTTGTCACATACATGAGCTCCTTTGTCCATTGACTGCTACACCATCATAAATTGTGAAAATAACCCATTGGAAAAGGATATAAGACCAAGCAGAATCCTCTGTTGGCTATCGTGACTTCAGCTAATCAGTTTTGGCCAATGCTAACATATTTACATTTTACAATCTGATGTAAGAGAAGTCATCTTTCGCTACTGCATTGTATTTAAATAGAGAAATCATTTTACATGCAACTTATACTCTAAATCTTCTTTAACCTCCTAGGGCTGAGTGGCCACATACGTCTCTTATGTCTATTTTGTTACAGACATACAGTGTCATCCTGCAACTGTTTTGCAGCATATTAAATGTCCCAAACACTATTTTAACTGTCCAAAAAGGGTTTAAAAAAATTTTGTTTTTACTGATAATCAAAATATGTTCAAAGATATGTGTGTATGTGTTATTAATGCAGTGAGGAAAAAACTGCTGTGTTCAAGGCAGAAATAAAGAGTTTTTTATTCTATTACACAAAGGTGACTTTGTGTTTTATGGAAATTCGGACCACGAGTCCACATATATGGACATCATTTTTCTCTTGAAGTACATCATATAAAAAGATGATACTTAGTTTCAATAAGCCCAAATAGCAAAGAGAAATAAAAAACTGCATGTAAAAAACAGCTTGGATATCTTTAGGACATATTTTTGGTACATCATAAAGTGTGGTTAAGATGGCCATCCAATAAGCTAATCCAGCTAAAAATAGTGCTTAAACTGTCACTAAAATGCAATATTTAAATCTCATAATTAAATAGAAAACAAGGCGTAAAACTGCAAAAAAGTCCACTTTTTGAGAAAAAAGAACCAGCCCTTTCATCAGGCTGTTTTTCTGAACAGGAAACTAAAGTTGTGCTTCACACAGGTGAGCGGGCTTGACTATAAAAAAAACAAAACACTCCCTCACTCTAGCACTTAATTCTCTGAGCAGTAACAGTTCCTTTGTATAAGGAGCTCCTTTGTCTGTTTGTGTTGATTTGTTGAACGTCTCCTCAATTGTAAATCATGGACAAAAGCGTCTGCCAAATGACAATGCAATGTATGTCGCTCGCGAACTGAATAGCGGGGGGTGGGAGGTGTGGTTGTCGTACACAAACTTAAGAATGGGGGTTGGGGGTGGGTGGTGGCTGGATGAGGTTTGGGAGGAAGCACGCAAACTGTAGAGCGCGGTTGGGGGGTGGGGGCGGGGGTAATCAAACTAACAAGCAAAAAATATATATATATGCATGCATGAGGAAAATATGTCTCAACGAAAACACAAGAAAATAGATTTTTATAACATAACTGAGTGACCAAAAGGTACAAGGACTGCTCACCGGCCCTGCACGCACTGCTTGACATGAATGAATCTGTTAACGATGTAACTGTGCTGTTCTCACGGGTGCTGTCTGATATTGCACTGATGCTTTTGACATATACTGTACCTTATTATATGCATACTTTATGTTACCGGTCTTGTCATGAGTAGCGATGTTATTTAACTCCGTGCAAGCCCGTTTGCGATGGTGTAAGTGGTGTTCAATTTCACATATAGCTGCCACTTGCACGGCGGACAGCATCTGGCGATTATTTGAAGGATTAAACAGAAGCTTGCGTGCTAGATGTGGCAAACAGTTACCTGAAAATTCCATCCAACAGAGTTTTTTATAGTGGACTTGAAGCCAATGTAAGTCTTTTATCCATTCTTCGAAAAGTGTCGACGGTGGAGTAACATTCAGCACATTATCACCACTAAGATGTGTCATTATTTGTAACTTTAGATGGTTTCTAAAACAAAATCTGTCAGTGTTGTTTTTATTCTCATCTATTTTCTCTTTTATTCGCAGTTGTAGCTCTCCCTGTCATCCCAAGCCAGAAGACACTGATTGAGTGATTGAAAGCTGATATTAACCAATCCATTCGCGTTCAGTTCTACAGAAGCGGGCCAATAAGAAGAGCGCGAAGGCGGGGCAAACATTGCAGGCTTTGTTTACTGCAGCAAGTTGACATGACAACTGATTTAAACCATTCCTGAGTGCTGCGTTTCGCGTTTCAAGAGCAGAGATGCATTCTGCGTGAATGCCTCCTAAATCTGCACATGTGGTGAACATTTTGCAGTAAAAACTGGTCGCACACAGCAATTTTATGCACTCGCACAAATGCTCCCAAACATATTTTGAGGTCGCAAAGATAACATTTCGGGCGCATGTGCAACCAAAATGTTCGCAATTTCGAGCCCTGCATCATAAAGCATAGAAAAAATAGGGACTGTAGTAAGTTAAATGTGTGTATTTACACACGTGAAAGTCATGGCAGGATCAAGCAAAAGCGTGACTCACTCTCCTCACAGAGGAAGCCCTTATAACCCAGAGGGCAGAGGCAGATAAAGCCGTCCGCGCGGTTGGCAAAGCAGATCCCTCCGTTGGCACAGGTGACCTTCTCACACACACTGTTACTGCACTCGCCTGAAACACACACAGCAGACGATGATGACTTCAACACATGTACAGCAATCCCTAAAAGAACAGCTAAAGACAGAATAATTAACCCTCATTATTAATTAGGCCCTTCAATATTTTCCCAATTTCTGTTTAACAGAGAGAAGATTTTCTATTTCTAAACAGAATAGTTTTAAAAATTCATTTCTAATAACTGATTTATTTTATCTTTGCCATGATGACAGTAAATAATATTTGACTAGATATTTTTCAAGACACTAGTATTCAGCTTAAAGTGACATTTAAAGACTTAACTAGGTTATTTAGTAAAATCATTGTAAAGCAGTGGTTTGTTCTGTAGACCAGGGGTTCCCAAACTTTTCAGTCCGCGAACCCCAAAATCACAATGCAAGTGACTCTCGACCCCCAATATCCTCTGAGGTGGTTATAAATACAGAAACCTTGCATGCAATGGCGCGCACACACCAATAGACCCAAGTCTATTCTTCGTTTGTTTATTTTTTTTATGCATGTCAGTGCTGTAAATGTGCCAGAAACCTGGTATTATAAAATCAATCTGCTGCATCTGACGCTATTGCTATGTCTTTAATATAATGAAGTTGCCCCAGGGGTTACCCCAATAGAACTAGTAACTATTAGCTACTCTATATACAGTAGTATATAGTTACTATAAACGACTATTTGGTCTTTTCAGTAGGTTATGGATAAAATATGGTAATTTTTAAGGTTTAATAAAAATAAATAGATTTTTGTAAATCACCAGGCGACCCCCCTTCATTGTCCAGCGACCCCTCGGGGGGTCCTGACCCCCACTTTGAGAACCACTGCTGTAGACAATAGAAAAAAAAAGATTGCTTAAGGGGGCAAATAATATTGACCTTAAAATGATGCTAAACAAATTCAAAGCTGCTTTTATTCTAGCTGAAATAAAACAAATAAGACTTTCTCCAGAAGAGAAAATATTATAGGAAATACTGTGAAAATAATTAATTGCTATGTTAATCATCATTTGTAAAATAAAAAAAATAAAAAACACAAGAGAGCTAATAATTTTGACTTCAACTGTATATTTCAATATTTGAGATTGAAAAAACATTGCACTTGATAAATACACTACAGTTATTTTTAAATGACTTTTAAAGTAAGTCTGATCACAAAGGTTAAAACCCAACATAGTGATAGTACAATAATATTAACTGTATTCAAATTGTGTAGTTTAATATGTGATTTATTGCTGTGAATTTTCAGCATCATTACTCCAGCTGCTCAAGAACACCTCTTCTATTTATATTCATGTTCAATGCAAGATATGTTTTTGTAGAAACTGTGATCACATTAAAAATAAAGCGAAAAAAAGACACCTGCATTACCAAGAATGTGTTGTTTAATTATGGGAAATTCATTTGCATTTTCAAAGGTAAATATTTACAATGCAAGTAAATATTGGATGATTGTTAGTTACAATTACAACAAAAGTTACAACTGTATTCATGAAAAGAAAAAAATAATTTTATTGAGCAATTATTAAAGCAAAAGTGATTTTAAAACATTTATTATGTTACAAATTTCGTGTTCCTTTAATAATATGTCTTTCAGAAATGAAATGCTATCTTATTATTCATTCATTGTCTTTTCAGCTTAATCCCTTTATTTCCCTTCCTTATTACCCTTAAATTGCCTAATTAACCTAGTAAAGCCTTTAAATGTCACTTGAATCTAGTATCTTGAAAAATATCTCGTCAAATATTACGTACTGTCATCATGACAAAAATAAAATAAATCAGTTATTAAAACTATTATGTCATGTTTGTTTACAAAGGTTGGTAATAACTCAGGAGGGCTATTAATTCTGACTTCAACTGTATGTATGGTTGTCAACAACGTTGATGCTACTTTTTATTCTTCTTGACAACAAAGCACTTAAATGCGACAAGCTTATAATTATGACACCATAAGTGGGAATAAGGAATTTTCCAATAGCACATAAAAGCAATATAAATTCTGTTAAGTGGAGCTCACCGATGTCTGCTCCACTCAGTGCATTTCCTTTAGGCCAGGGTCGGATGTCTATGGCTTTACTGTTGACAGTCAGACTCTGCATGCAGCCCTGAAAGCCGCGGTTGGTGCCCACAGCTCTCACTAACCAGTAGCCATTTGGAGCTCCACCCAAAAACAAAGCTGTCCGGAAGGTTATTTTGGTGTACTGACCCTATGCGGACAAAAAAAGAGATGTATTTTATAAAAAAGCCACAACTATTCAATGCAATATCACTACTAGTGTTGTCACGATTACTGGTTTCAAGGTAAACTACTCTACATTTTATGATGGTGAGTAAAATTTTCATTATCGCTACACTTTGGCTTAGTGGTTAGCACTGTTGCCTCTCAGAAAGAAGGTGACTGGTTCGAGTCTCGGCTGGGTCAGTTGGCATATCTGTGTGGAGTTTGCATGTTCTCCCCGTGTTGGTGTGGGTTTCTCCTCCATGTGCTCCGGTTTTCCCCCACAGTCCAAACACATGCACTATACAGTAGGTCATTCATCCATTTTCATTTCGGCTTGGTCTCTTTATTAAGGGGTCGCCACAGCTGAATGAACCGCCAACTTATCCAGCATATGTTTTATGCAGCGGATATATTCCAGCTGAAACCCATCACTGGGAAAAACCCATACACTACATTCATTACGGGCAATTTTAGCTTACCCAATTTACCTGTACCACATGTCTTTGGAGCAACGGGAGGAAACCCACGTGAACACAGGGAGAACATGCAAACTCCACACAGAAATGCCAACTGACCTAGCTGAGGCTCGAACCAGCAATCTTCTTGCTGTGAGGCGACAGCACTATCTACTGCGCCACCGCATCGCCCCTGCGCTATAGGTGAATTGGGTAGTGTATGAGTGCGTGTGTGAATGTGAGAGTGTATGGGTGTTTCCATGTGCTAAGTTGCATCTGCTGCATAAAACATTTCGCTGTGGCGACCCCTGATAATCAGGGACTAAGCTGAAGCAAAATAATAAATTAGTTTTTATTATCATTAAAATCAAGATTTATTATTGTGATTTTGTAAACTCACAGTACATCCTGTAACATTGCGATTAGCTAATTGCAAAAGGCTGCAATGTAAATGCATGTTTACTGTATATAGACATATAAAAAATATATATTTATTAATACATGTATTCCTTTATTTAAGGGGACCTATTTTGCCCCAAATTACCAGATGTAAAATAAGACTCTGATGTCCCTAGAGTGTAGCGGGGCTTCCAGCTAACTCCATCAAGCCTCTTCAGCTGCTCCAGAACGCAGCAGCACGAGTGGTCTTTAATGAACCTAAAAGAGCACATGTCACTCCGCTGCTCATCCGTTTGCACTGGCTGCCAGTTGCTGCTCGCATCAAATTCAAAGCTCTGATGTTTGCCTACAAAGCGACTTCTGGCTTTACTCCATCTTATCTGCTCTCACTTCTGCAGATCTATGTGCCCTCCAGAAACTTGCGTTCTGTGAATGAACGTCGCCTCGTGGTTCCATCCCAAAGAGGGAAGAAATCACTTTCCCGAACTCTCGCGTTCAATCTGCCCAGTTGGTGGAATGAACTCCCTAACTGCATCAGAACAGCAGAGTCACTTGCTGTCTTCAAGAAACAACTAAAAACTCAATTATTTAGTCTCCACTTTCCTTCCTAATCTGCAATTGCCTCTCTAGCTATACCACTAACTGTACTCAAAAAAAATAAAACTTACATTACTAATGCTTTGCTTCTTAGACTTTACAGACCTGAAACTTGCCTACAGCACTTATTTAAAGTTTCTCTTATAGTTGTGTAAATTGCTTCCTTGTCCTCATTTGTAAGTCGCTTTGGATAAAAGCATCTGCTAAATGACTAAATGACTAAATGACTAAATGTGTATGTGATGATGAATACTGACACACTATAAACTACTAAAGCTTTCTACTCCAGTCATTTTTGTCTTGAAGAATCCCCCTTCCACCCCTACTCCTCCTCTTCTCTGATAGGGCGGCCCGGCGGCCCAGTGGGTAGTACTGTCGCCTCACAGCAAGAACACCGCTGGTTCAGCCCTCTCCAGGCAGCTCGGCCTTTCTGTGTGGAGTATGCATGTTCTCCCCCTGATTCGCGTGGGTTTTCCCCGGGTTCCTCCCACCGTCCAAAGGCATACACCATAAGCAAATTGACTACTTCAAAATAGCATCCTGATGAAACTATTAGTCAGATATATCTCAGCAGTTCATAAGTAGGGGAGTTCTCGAGACCTACCTGAGCTCAAACATTCCTCTCGCCCTTTAAACGGGAGGGAGCCCTAGGCTCAAGGATATTCTGAGCTCAGGGCTCTCCCCTGGGATAGCATGCCAAACTCTTGTAAACTCAGTGTAAACTCTTGAAATTGCATAAAGCTGCAAATTTATTTAGTTGTTTGTTCATTTTGAGGTGCAAAAGGTAATGAAAGGCCTTGTATTTGACATTCATTTTTTTAAATGTCCATGTAATTATAACAAAACCGTATAAATACTCATAAGCGTGATAATTTTGGTCACTATAATCATGAGCTTCTCACATAGCTACATCTCTATGCAAAATCCAACATTTCATTATTTAATACTTTAGTGCGATGTGTGTGTAAAGTGTCATGTACCTGTGAACGGCTTGACACCGGTGTGTCATTGTCCAATCGCAGCCAGCCATTCATGCCGTCTCTAAATATGGTGACGGTGTGCCACTGTCCAATCACAATAGAGCTGTCGCTGATGATCTGTGCTGCTCCTGTCCCACAGTTAAACCTGTGCACAAAATCACCAACATCCACTGACAATTATTCAATTATATGTTCAACCATATGAATTATAATTGAATTCATCATATGAACTTATAATATGAATGATAGAAGTATAAAGAATCACACACGTTAGTCAACATTTGTAAGTGGCTCTGACACGCATGTGGGAACAGTGGGCGGGGAGAACTATCTCATTTGCATTAAAGGCACAGGCAACATAAACAGCGACAGTGAGCTCAGAGTTGAAAATCCACATGTTTAAACATTCTAAAGACACAAAAGACTAATCTTAAAACTTGAAAAGGGGGTAAAATAGGTACCCTTTAAATCGGCATAAACTGAACTAACATAAGCAGTTTGCAAGTACTACATTAATTTGGACCTACCTGTAGTGTAGTTTTCCCCGTATGAGAGCGAGGGAGGTGAAATCTCCTCTACCGTGTTCATTCTCTCCACAATACAAAAGCAGTCCGTCCTCAGCCTCTGCCTGGCAGCACAAAAGCAGCGAGTCAGTATCATCTCAAACACACTCAAGTCTGTCTGTGTTTGTGATTTTACCTTAAACTCCAGGCTGATCTGGAAGCTCTGATACGAGTTTTTAAGAGGCTCGAACGTCATGTGAGAGTAGCCGTAAAACTTTGGGAAATTTATCGTCAGACCTGTAGGACAAATAAAGCGGTTACATTTAATTCTAAAATCTAATTTTGCATGCACACACCATGTCAATATTATGTCGGCTATATTTCTTGGGAGTAAACAGACTCAAATGATACAGTGCATCTGGAAAGTATTGATAGCGCTTTACTATTTCCACATTTTTTATGTTACAGCCTTATTCCAAAATGGATTTCATTCATTTATTTCCTCAACATTCTCCACACAATACCCCATAATAACAATGCGGAAAAAGAGTTTTTGAAATTGTTGCAAATTTATTAGAAATAAAAAACCTGAAAAATCACATGTACATCCGTATTCACAGCCTTTGCCTAAAGCTCTAAATTGAGCTCAGGTACATTCTCTTTCCACTGATCGTTCTTAAGATGTTTCAGCAGCTTAACTGGATTAAGTTGATTGGACATGATTTGAAAAGGCATACACCTGTCTATATAAGGGCCCAGGGTTGACAGTGCATGTCAAAGCACAAACCAAGCATGAAGACAAAGGAATTGCCTGTGGACCTCCGAGACAGGATTGTCTCGAGGCACAAGGCTGTGGAAGGTTACAGAAACCTTTCTGCTGCTCTGAAAGTTCCAATGAGTACAATGGCCTCCATCCGCAAGTGGAAGATGTTTGGAACCACCAGGACTCTTCCTAGAGCTGGCCGGCCATCTAAGCTGAGTGATCTGGGGAGAAGGGCCTTAGGCCGTACTCACACTAGGTACAGTTGCCTCAAACCGGGCCAAAGCCCGCTTGTCCCCCCTCCCCCCTCCCCCGACGGCCTGCGCTCACACCACAAATGGGCTTCGGCACGCTTACGTCATCGCTGTTGGGCTGTTCAGTGAGAAGCGCTCTCTCACTCAGCTGCACAGTGGAGATTTCTCTAGTTATATCATTTCAGTCCTTTGATATGCCGTCAAATATTTCGCCAAACAGTCCTTAGGGATGCGGTGACACGCAGTCAGATATTTCGCCGAACAGATCCGCCACTTTTGGCGCTCATAAACAATCATAAAGCTCTCGTGCTGCAGGAATGAGGAGGTCTGCTAAAGGCGCGCAGCTGTCGTGAAGTGAGGAGTTTGCGTCTTTAATAAACGACGGCAGTTTGCGTTCACTGAACAGTAAGAATGATTAATAAATCCATATGAAACAGTCCCTTAAAAGTCATGTCTCGCTTTCAGTTTCGGGATTTGGCGCGTTTTGCACTCACACACAAGCATACCGCGCCAAAACCCAAGTGAACTGCGCTCAGGCACATCTCTTCCAACTGGGCCGGGCCGGCCAAGTGAACCGTGCTTGAGCCCGATTCAGCGCACTCACACTTCTCAAACGATCCGGGAAACGAGCCTGGGCACGGTACGGATGGCATAGTGTGAGTAGGCTCTTAGTCAGAGAGGTGATCAATAACCCGATGGTCAGTGGTGTAAAGTAACTAATTACAAATACTCAAATGACTGTAATTGAGTAGTTTTTCTAAGGAATTGTAATTTAGTTAGTAGTTTTAAAAATGTGTCTTTTTACTCTGCTTTAAGTACATTTGTAGTGCAGTATCAGTACTTTTACTCCACTACTTTCCTTCACCCTGTAGTCACTATTTTATTCCTGTCTATGTGGATTAGAAAAATCAGTCTTGTGATTCTTGTCCAATCGAATCGCACATAGAAGGGAAATCACATCATACTGAATTACCTCAAGACATGGGTGATTTATAATAGCAGAAAACTGTTTGGAAGCATTAAATATGTCCAAGAAGCTGTCCAAAATCTTGACACGCATTGAACCAGAGACTGTTTAGATGTATGTTACTGATGACGGATGTTGAGGTCAGAACTCCAATGTCAATGTCAAACGTCCAACCTAAAATCAACCAAATATCAACATCTAATGATGTTAGAGCTTGACGTTGTGTGAATGTTACCACTATTACGTCTATCAGACGTTGGATTTTGGTTGCCATACCTGACGAATAAATGTCAGTATTTGATGTCAAAATGACGTTGGTTTAAGATGTTGATTCCGTTGGATTTTTGTCACTTTCCGACAACCTAAAATCAACTAAATATCAATGTCATTTGACGTCGTTATTGGACATTAAAATATTGTTGTCCTTAAACACTGGCTAGACATTGAATTTTGGTCACCTGACATCACAACCTAAATCTAACCTAATATTAACCTCTCATGACATTGTGTGCCTGCTGCTGGACAATAACTAAATACACTACAGAATGTTACGTTTATTTATACATGCACATATTACATGTGAACACATCAGCTTTATACAGTGTAATACTCACTACTCTGGAGAACTTTTAAAAGCTCTACTTTTTACTCATATCTTGAGTAATATTTACAACCGATACTTTTAATTTACTCGCTCTACATTTTTAGGCAAGTAATGGTACTTTTACCAGAGTATGAGTTTTAGTACTCTTTCCACCACTGCCGATGGTCACTCTATCTGAGTGTTTTGACATCAAAGTAGTTTACATGCATTATAAGGACACAAAATCCAGTGTAAATGTGTCATTTGCAATTGAAGCTTTCAGATGAATACAACTTTTGGTTATTTTGTGGGTCAAAAGGACATCAATCTGTGAAGGTTATATGGACGTCAAAGTTTTGACATCAAATCAGTTAGCATTTCTGACTTTTTTGGATTTTTTGTTTTGACATCAAGGTGCCCCCTAGCTAGACAGCTGATTGGTCACATGGCTATGATGTTCCCTACGCTTGAGTTTATTCAGCAAATGAGTTTCCATCTCCCATTATTGGCATTAACCCTTTTTCATACAAGTTCAAAACCACTTCAAGCGAGCAGCATATTTAGTTTTTTGCATATTCATTCATCCATTAATTTTTTTCCGATTTTGTTTTCGCCCCTTAATTAATCAGGGGTCGCCACAGCGGAATGAACTGCCAACTTATCCAGCATATGTTGTACGCAGAGGATGCCCTTCCAGCCACAACCCAACACTGGGAAACACCCATACATTCTCATTCACATATACACTACAACCAATTTAGCTTATTCAATTCACCTATAGCGCATGTCTCTGGACTTGTGGGAGAAACTGGATCACCCGGAGCAAACCCAGGCTAACACGGGAAGAACATGCAAACTTCACTGATGCCAGCTGGCGAAGCTGGGTCTCGGGTTACCCACTGTGCCACCATGATGCCCGCTTTTTGCAAATTAAGGTTTTAAATTTTTTTATTTGGCTTTTTTATCACTCATTACTCATGTGATACTTCAAAATGCGCATAAACACTGAGTAATGGAAACCCAGCTAGTTTGACTGAAGGTCACAGGAAAGGATTTCCTTCAGTCTGTTTGGACAACTTTTCTGGCTCGTCTTTATCATCTGCAACTGGGGTTGCAGAGCGTTTCATCTCTTGGGCACAAATCCCACAGTTCATCACTGTGCCAAAATTCACCCTCAGCCCAAATTAACTCAAATCCAGGATTCCCACTCAAAGCCAAAGGTCAAATTCCCTGACTTTTGATTGACTTCCACTGACTAAAAAGTTGAAATTCTGGCATTTCTCCTTAAGTGTGTGACCTGCTTTAGATGTGTCAGGTGACAAGGCTATATTTGTTGTATTGATTGCTAAAATTAGAATGTTAAATATTATTTTTTAATGCTATTGATGAAGAGATTGTAACAGTATTGTTTACTTTGATTATTTAAAGTTATTTGTGCATTAAATATAATGTAGTGACATTATATAGTTAAGAGGTAAACACATTCTCTCTTTGTTTCTTTGTGCTTCTTTCACATAAATTATATATCACAAATATTGAGAAAAGTCACTGCAAAAATCTGTCATTTTAGCCCAAAAATCTGAAGATTTTGCAACAAAATTCAGGAGGGACTGGATGAACACTGAGCAAACAAAAAACAGCCACAGATAATATTTTTACAGGGACAGCCTGGTGACTACAATTGATTGCAAAAGTGCTTTTAAGTCTTTCTCAACTTACGTTCAGTGACAAATAACCTATTTCACACTTCGTTTTTTTTCACATGGTTTCTGAAACCATCCTTCACCAGACTCAAACCTTGTCAGCTTAACATCCCAAGAATGATGCCATACAATGTGAGCTATCGAGCAAACTGACCGCTCTAGAAAAGTCATCTGTACAAAGATAAGCAGATGAAATGTACTTGTTTGATTAATGTTCTGTGGTATTTATTCAGTGCTGTGCATAAAAGCAATCCTATATTTGTCAATAACATGTCCACACATACATGAATATTTATATAAACAGCGTTTTCCCCGCTTTCATAAAAAAAAAAAATCTACATCCACATGAAAACGCCAAAACATACAATGATGCATGTTGAGGGCATGCCAAAGCAACAGGTGGTGATAGACACTTTGTCACCTTAGAATTACAGTATAAGGTTATATCTAATATTTCTGTCAAAATTGAGTTAATATATTCTTGTGACAACTTATTTACATTATGGGATGTTTTTTATAAGTTGTTTACATTTTAAGACTTTTTTGCTATATGGAATGCAAAAACTTTGAAGCTCAATATCTCAAAATCATTCACAACGCAGATAGAACCTTATAATTCCAAGGTGACGACTTATGCTGGGTTCACACCACACGGGAAATTAAGCATTTGCACAAGTGAATTGCTGTAATAAAGTTGATGACCACCTGGCCATCGGAAAAGAGGAGGGGGAAAACCTTTCATACACATCTTAATAAAAAAAAAAAAAAAAAAAACACAAAAACAAACTAAAAGCAAATGTAAAATATTAGAGGCCCTTTCATACACCCAGCGCAATGCAGCGCAATTGTTGTTTGATAGTTACAGCTTGGCGCAAGAGTCATTTTGACGTTTTGCACTACGCTGTTTAAATAGCAAATGCATTTGCGCTCATATGTGCGCCCATAGGCGTTCTGGTCTAAAAAAGGAGGCGTGTTGAGGCGTGTTGTGGCGCATTGCTGGCGCGTTACTGTTTTGAGGATCTATAATAGA